CNCACTACAACCTTCCGCGCTTCGGGGTAGGAAACTCTGGTTTCTACTTTAATTTTTTAAAGTTTTTTTTAAGTTTCCACTTAGGACAGTCTTTGGAAAAAGCGACATGGTTTCCATCACAGTTACAACAGCAAGGAGTATCACTACAATCCTTGCTGTCATGCCCAGACTTGCCACAACGCGCACATCGCAACGAACTTTTGCAAGTCCGAGTTCCATGCCCGAAGCGCTGACAGTTATAACACCTGGGAGGATTAGGAATAAAAGGTATTTTTTAATATTTAGGTAACCTACTTTTATATCTGATGGTAGTTCGGGTCTGTCAAAGAGAAGTATGAATGTATTTGTAGGTATTAATTGGCCGTCACGACGGATAGAAATTCGATCAACGTTTGTGACTCCAATATCTTTTAGTTCTTCCTTCATTTCCTCCGAAGAACAGCCACTAAGGTCAGGGTGCCGTACAACACCCTTAGAGGAGTTCAGAGAAGAATGCGGTGAGACAGTGATAGGAATATTGACTAAAGATGTTGATTTTAATAATAATTCCGAGTGTATCTTACGGTGGCATTCGAGCAATAAGACCCGTTACGAAGTTTTGTAATGGATTTGGGCTCGCTAGCCAGACCAGTTATTCCTTTGGCGATAGCAAATGGTGATAAAGATGCCAAAGACCTCTCGGGGTCACTACTGTTAATGACAAGAAACAGAGGCCAAGAATCACTACACGAGCTAGATGATTCAGTAAATTCTGTCTCGGTTAGTCTACGTTTATTGTTTTTTTGTTTTGTATTTAATGTAGCCATGAAGAAAGGGAGAGGATTCATCTCCCGAAACCCCCGACAACCACGGACCACAACATCCGCGCGGGCTGTGCGCGGGACTCCAGCGCTGGCGCCCTGGGGGTAATCAGGAGATATACTTGAATAAAAATGAGGAATAGAAGTTCAGGATGGGGCATAGAAATTCCTTGAACTTATATTGTATTTTTACTCAATTGACCCAAGCCGCTGCTTCCGAGTCGGTGAATGACTTGGAGGAAAAGGATATAAACTGTGTCGAGGAAAAGTTTAATCTGTTCTGACCACCGACTCATAGGCTCAACACGACAAGCCGATTGGCCAGTGTGGGCCACCCGTCTAGGAATCCCCTGGCCCAAAGTGATGTATTGGGAAGTATGTTACCCTCAACCACTAGGAGTCCATTCAAAACCGACACGGGTCGCACCTCACGGCAAACGAGGAGCCCCAATTCAGTCGCCTCTTACGACACGCAATGGGAGGCGGTGGACCTATTCTTAACCCCGGGCCACTGGGGGAACAAATTCGATGAAATCGTAAAACTTGTGAATTAATTATACCAGAAAAAGGTATGTTTTGGGTGAAAGGAGCTCTTGTGCAAGAGTGGTGGATTCTCCAGTTAAAGTCATACTACCTACCGTATTACGACGAAGAAAAGCTATTTCAATATCTTTAGTTAATGAGTTGAATATCCTCGTTTCTACTTCAATTGATGGTGTTATTACGGGTATGAAAAAAGTTGGAGATTCGTTATTTCTAATTTTGCATCTGAACCATTCTCTCCAAAAAATATCTTATCGTCGTTGATTTCTCTTTGTAGATGAATTTTATATGGTAACCCTATGGAAACCTTTCTGTGTTCCAACAGACCGAATAAAGGATATAATTTCCAATTTACGTAATTACCCCACCTATTATTCTCAACAATATTATTGTACTGAAGTACTCGTTTTTCGAATCCATGATTAGCTGCTCGTGTTACTCTTTCTATTGTGTTTCGAGCAACAACTCGCACTCTAGCTAAATCGGCATCATTTGCAAGATTTCTTACCGGTTCTTTTAAAACACTTCCATCGCCAACATCGGGTATTCAACCTGAGACTGAATCGAAATCTTTAGGATATAAAACTGTTTTCAACATTGTGTCGAATTCCCCAAGGTGTATAATTGTTTCTATTGGATTTGATCCAGCTTCCAAAACCACCTGGCTAAATAAAGATGGAAAGAAATTGTTTTTTAACGTTGTATTTGTTTGTGGTACACGATTTTCATTGGGAGTTTGTGGAACTTGATTCTGAGTTCCATCTTTAATTTTGAAATCGCATCTGAAATAAGCATCGGAAAGAAGCAACCAATTCGATAATGAATTTATTTCGAAGGTAATTCTACCACCATCATTCAATTGGGATTTAGAACCAACAGTGGGTGAGATGATAATATAATCCTCTTTTTTCTTGTTAAACGAATAACGAATCGGATCGTATAATCTAAAGATTGGATCTAGTATTTTATTTACCATTTTTAAGGTTTAAAATTTGAGTAGAAAATTGTGTTTCCAAAAAAAAGAGTTATCTCCCTTTTCTAGACTAAAAATAAAATTACTTAAAACGAGGCTATTAAAAAATGTTATGTTATTTTTATATAAGGGTATTTTTAATATGCTTTTTTTTAATGGAATGTAGGAAATTGATTGAAGGTGTTTTTGGTGTATGAAATGTAAGGGTGTATAGGGTGTAATAATTTATTAAATGTTGGGTGTTTTTTAGTGTAAAAATTTATGAAATGTAGGATGTTTAGGTCTTTGGCTGTAAGAATTTATGAAATGTAGGGAGTTTAGGTCTTTTTTGGGAGCTTATATATTGGTCGCATTTTCCCCATGAAATGAAATGGAATGGGGAATCCCCTTGCGACCAATATATAAGCTCATAAACTACTATTTCCAATTTACGTAATTACCCCACCTATTATTCTCAAGGGTGTTTAATGGTTTCTATAGGATTTGAACCAGGTCTAATTGGTTTATCTATTATATAGTATTGACTTATCTGTTATACAACATTGGTTTATCTGTTATATAGCATTGGTTTATCTGTTATACAACATTGGTTTATCTGTTATATAGCATTGGTTAATCAGTTATATAACATTGGTTTATCTGTTATATAGCATTGGTTAATCAGTTATACAACATTGGTTTATCTGTTATATAGCATTGGTTAATCAGTTATATAACATTGGTTTAACTGTTATATAGCATTGGTTTATCTGTTATAGAGTATTGGTTTATCTGTTATATAACACTGCTTTATCTGTTATAGAGTAATGGTCTATCTGTTATAGAGTATTGGATTATATGTTATATAGCATTGGTTTATCTGTTATATAGCATTGGTTTATTTGTTATAGAGTATTGGTTTATTTGTTATAGAGCATTGGTTTATCTGTCATATAGCATTGGTTTATCTGTTATATAGCATTGGTTTATTTGTTATAGAGTATTGGTTTATCTGTTATATAAGATTGGTTCATCTGTTATATAACATTGGTTAATCTGTTATAGAGTATTGGTTAATCTGTTATACAACATTGGTTTATCTATTATATAGCATTGCCTTATCTGTTCTATATAATTGGCTTATCTGTTATATAGCACTGGTTTATCTGTTATTTAGCACCGGTTTATCTGTTATATAACATTTGTTTATCTGTTATACAACATTGGTTTATATGTTATAGGGTATTGGTTTATTTGTAATATAGTATTGGTTTATCTGTTATAGAGTATTGGTTATCTGTTATAGAGTAATGGTTTATCTTTTATAGAGTATTGGTTTATCTGTTATATAGTATTGGTTCATCTGTTATATAACATTGGTTTATTTGTTATATAGCATTGGCTTATCTTTTATAGAGTATTGGTTTATCTGTTTTATAGCATTGGCTTATTTGTTATAGAGCATTGGCTTATCTGTTATATAGTATTGGTTTATCTGTTATATAGCATTGGCTTATCTGTTATATAACACTGGTTTATCTGTTATATAACATTGGTTTATCTGTTATATTGCATTGGCTTATCTGTTATATAGCATTGGTTTATCTGTTATAGAGTATTGGCTTATCTGTTATATAGCATTGGTTTATTTGTTATATAGCATTGGTTTATCTGTTATATAACATTGGTTTATCTGTTATACAACATTGGTTTATCTGTTATGTAGCACTGGTTTATCTGTTATTTAGCACCGTTTTATCTGTTATATAGCATTGGTTTATCTGTTATATAACATTGGTTTATCTGTTATACAACATTGGTTTATATGTTATAGAGTATTGGTTTATTTGTAATATAGCATTGGTTTATCTGTTATATAGCATTGGCTTATCTGTTATAGAGTAATGGTCTATCTGTTATAGAGTATTGGTTTATCTGTTATATAGCATTGGTTTATTTGTTATATAGCATTGGTTTATCTGTTATAGAGTATTGGTTTATCTGTTATAGAGTATTGGTTTATCTGTTATATAGCAGTGGCTTATCTGTTATAGAGTAATGGTCTATCTGTTATAGAGTATTGGTTATCT